AAGGACAGCAACTTGTCTGTTCCCCTTCCCCCAATTCCCCAGCGCTGCTCCCATCCCCCAATTCCCCAATAAAAAATCTTTAAAAAAAAGGTGAGAGTTTAGACATGTGGCAGAAAAGTTGCCAGAAGAGGGAAGGGGAAAGTAGAAATGAAAATGGTAAGTTCAAAAAACAGCAAGAGCAGTGCAGATAGGAAGGGCTGAACAAGGGCATGAGTGGCAGCAGACGAGGGCAGGGAGGTGAGGAGAGGCCACGTCCTGGAGGGTCCTTGGTAAACAGAAGTTTGGATTTTATTCTGAATGTCATGAGAACTCATCATAAAGTTTGAAACAGGGAAATGTCATGATCTGATCAGGTTTTAAAAGACTCTGGCTGTTGCATGGAAAACAGACTGTGGGGGGGCAGAGTGGTGGCAGGTGGTGCAAGTTAGGAGCTGCTGAGGAGGGCCTGGAGTGAGGTGCTGCTGGCTTAGACCAGGATGTTCACGGCACAAGAGGATGATACATGGTTGCACTCAGGCTATACCGTGAAGGTAGAGTCAAGAAGACTACTAATGCACTAATAGTGGGGTATGAAGGCAATATCAGAGGAAAGGATGATGTATTTTTCTTGCTCTGAACAATGGGTGAATGAAGGGGCCCTTTACTGAGAAAACATAGATATGAGACAGAAGGTTTGCAGGGAACATGGGAAAGAGATCAAGAATGCTATGTAAGATAAGGAATGTCAACTTCGAAAAAGCTCCCAGGTGACATGGATATGCCTTTCCCCCGACACATACCATCTAGCTGAGAAGCAGCCAGCTACTGGAACAGAGATACTTACACAGAAGTGCGTTCTCAGTATGCCGAGACCATGTCAGATTATTCAAATCCACGCAAAGGGAAGGGGAGCATCTTTACCTAGCGAGATGACAGTCTCATAGTTTTCTTGCATGACATCATTGTAGAGGGCCTTCTGACCGGGATCCAGTAACTCCCATTCTTCCTGGGAAAAATACACGGCCACTTCTTCAAATGTCAACAGGCTCTAAAGAAGAGAATGGGCTTTAGCTCAGTACCTACCACTCCAGAAGCAGCCCTGCCATTTGGCCCTTGAACTGCATAGCAGGCCAGGCACTGAAGGAATTAAGAGCACATGATTCTTTTTTAAAGAAAGGAGGGAGAAAGGAAGGAGGCAAGGGAGCAGCAAACACCCCGAGAGGTGTCCAGGTCCCTAGGAGAGTATCAGGGCTAACATCCCTCTGAGCACCTGCTGGACAGTGCGGATCATGGGCAGGTGGGAAAGGCAGCCCTCAACAGCTGGAAAGCACAGCTCACCTGGGACTCAGGCAAGACGAGCTCAGATGCCACTGTCCAGTCTTTGGTGTTTGTCTGCTCAGGAAAGGCAAGGGTCTGGTGAGCAGGTACAGCTGTGGGTAGAAAAGAGCCACAGGAAATTTCTCTCGCGTCTATGAACATCCTGAGCACATTTTTAAATTATAGAAGATCCTGATTCTTTCAGTAGAGATGGGAAAGCTTTACAAGGGTGTGTGATGCCCAGATGGTGGCCTTGTCATTGATAATAAGAACCAAGTATCTTCAGATCCTAGAATAGCTTCCTGCTTTCATTAGTGAAATTAATGAAATAAAAACCTTTTTTATTTTACTTTGATGACATGAATTAATCTGTTAAGGAAAAACTAAATAGAATTGCCAATGAAATACTTAGGAATTCCAGTGCACAATAGGAAATGTAGCTTTTTTATCATTTATTATTTTTTCCTGGTACACAATGTGTTCACATTATGCCACTGACAGCCCATTTCTGATCCTAATTGCTTCTGTATTTTATGCGATAAGGTGCCCTCCACTCTTTGCACTTTTCTAAGAGTTCATGGTGTAGTTACCACAGTTCTGTGGTTTGGATATATCTGTACCTTAGGCCAAACCCCACCATCACCCACAGCTGTCTATTCTGAGAACACCTTAGCGGGGAGGGGTGTATCTTAATTGCTAATGTGGCTATATTTGCAGATCCAGAGCTGGGCACCCAGAAAATGCTCACAGCACTCTGGCTGAGCTCCCGGACGAAAGAAATTATCATGAAGCTCCTTACCCTTCTCACACACAGGCTCGGTTTCTTTATGAGTATTTCTGCTCAGCTCTTCTTGTACACCCTGATATGTATTCCGAAGTTCTTCATCCTGGGATGTGCCCACTGACGGCTGGAACTCTGTTGGCTTCAGTCTGAAGCCTGGGGCCTCTGCTGTTTCTCCCAAGAGCACTGCTTCCTTTCTCAGCTCATGGACAGCAACCTGGAAATAATTCCCACTCTTGTTACCACAGAATTTACTTTAGGTTTAGGGAGTCATGGTAGAGGAGGAAACGCATAGAGTTCAGATTGTGGGAAGTGTGAGACACTAAAGGAAATGACAAAAACTTAAAAGAGACATTGGGCCACCAATTTTCCAGAAAGATCTATCCGCAAAGTCAGGGAAATTTAGAATAAAAGGAGAAATAATGTGGCTACTGCCAGCGCTCCAACACAGCGGCCTCCACCCCTCTGCACAGAGCCCAGTCAGACCACTAGCAGGGTTTGCAGACTGCCTGCTCTCATGCTGCCTTAACAGCCTTTCTCTCTTGACTACAACCTGGCCTCAGTGGTCTCAGTTTTGTCAAAAGATTAAGAAAATGAATTTTAAAAACTGTCCTGTCAACCAGACTTTCCCCATGGCCAGGAAAGGTTTTCACAGAAGACAGCAATAAAATGGAGAAGAAAAGGGGAGGAAAGATTCAGGCTTCAACATCCCTCCATGATTTGGACACCAAACATATGCCCTACCCTGTATTCTTCACAGTAGGCCTGAAACCAGTTGAGATGTGCTGCCACCTGCCCAAAGGCATACCCTTGACCCCCACTCAACAGCTGAGCCAAGGACCAACCACTAAGGGAGGCTCCTGTCTATGGGACGAAGGACGCTAGTTCTTAGCATCCTTCTTCTCTCAGCCACTCTGTTGGGATTTTGAAATCTATTTCCCTGTTTTCGTTCTCATCTTTCCTCCTCTGCAGTCTTCCCTTGTTGCTGAGTTTCTCTTACTTTTTACTATCCTCTCTCCTTTGGTTCTATGCGGTCTACCTTTTTTGGATCTGCCCCTTCCTTTCTAACTCCTTTTTGCCCTTTGTTTCAAAAAACTTAAGACCTATCGGCTAGGCCAAGCCAGACTGGGCTTATTACCCTCCATAAACGCTGGCTCCAAAGAGGGCCAAAAGCAACTCTTTCTCTAAGGCCAGAGAAGTCTCTGCCAGGATCTCTGAAACTTGGAGAATGAACACTGCTGCGGGTCTGTGGTTTCAGGTCCTGCCCTAGATAGCTTTAAAGGAGTAATAGATCATTGACCTAATTCCTCTTATATCTCAATTAACTGCCCCACCCTCCATATATTCACCTTCATCCGATTTCATTGTATGTATTGGGAATCCTTCTCAGCCCATTCCTTGTTTGACCAGATTCACTCTGCAAGGGGTCTACCAAGGCCACAGCCTCTTCAGTGCTCTGTAGGTGGTGATTCTTTATCTTGGTCTGGGTGTTTCTGGGCAGAATGGTCAGGAACTGCTCTAGTACCAGCAGTTCCAGATCCACACTTCTGAATAGACCTCTGGCCTCAGCCACTGAAGGCATAATTCCTGAAGTTGGCCAACAGCCTCACGAGGTCCAGCTGCTTCATGAGAGTGGAAGCTCCGGAAGTGCTGAGTAGAGCTCTCAGAACTGAGGCTGTCCATTTGTACGCTATATTTCTTACTCTGACTAGAGCTGTCACAGGTCCCTTGGTCTGCCATGGAGCCCTGATTTGAGTGGTCAAACACTCAGCCACCTTGAGACTTACCATCATCATCCTGCTCTGAACAGTTTGCTTCTGCGTTGGACACCTGACCAGCACCCCCATTTGGGACCTAGGGCTCGTCCGGGTCGGAATTAAAATCATAAAAAGGTCTTTTTTCTAAGGCAATGGAGGGCAGGAAAAAAGTGCACGTCAGTAAGAAAGTCATCTTAACTTTCCTATTTGCTAGTTATTATGAGAGAAAAATTAACAGAAAACATCCTGCCTTGCTTTCCCTTTAAAATCCACTGACAAGCCCTTTGTGTCTCTCCTCTTCTTTAAATTATTGAACTGAACTACAGCACGGCTGATTAAAGACAAATGCCAACTGATGACTGCCTTAATAAACTAAATTTACAAAATGTTGGTGGGTGAGAAAATTGGCACCCACTGGCTGCAAAGAGTTTGGGGATTATCCAGAGATTTCATTTGTGTGTGTTCTATCCCATCTTCTCCATGTCAAGGGAAGATTAGGAGAGCATTTGGGGTTTCTCTTACATTTAAACATCATCCTAGTCTTCTGTGTTAATTAAGAAGATACAAGTTCTGACCCAAGAGAATTCTTGAGAAAATAGAAGCTTTCACTTCGTCGAACATTTGAGATTCTCCTTTCCTTGTATGAATACTGGTGGGACTGCCAGTGAGACCAGAGCAAGAGGAAAGTAATTAGGGAAAAAGTAGCCTTTTCCTCTCTGAAAGCATCAAGCAATTTAGTAACTAGATGCTCAACATTCTTCTTTAGCACTTCTTTGCAAGACATATAAAAGACACTACTCAGAAGATCTATGTCTGTATTTTTAAATTTGTTTACTTGAACTAGGAAAAATTGCAGCTAAACTTTTTTTTTTAAAGATTTTATTGGGGAATTGGGGGAAGGGAACAGCATTGGGGAATCGGGGAAGGGGAACAGACAAGTTGCTGTCCTTTTGTTCTTCAGTCTAGTTGTGGAGGACATCGCTTCACTGGCCCATGTTGGTATTGTGATCATTGTGTTCTTCCCAGCTGAGGCAGATTGGGTCGCTGGCCATTGGATGGCTGCTCACAGCGGCTCATAGCAGCTCACGCCTGCTCCGGCCAGCCCCTCTGCAGCCTACACCATTGCTGGCGACTCATGGCAGCCCAGCTCCAGATCAAGCCGCTGTTCACCATCTTAGCTATAGAGGGCGCAGCATCATTGGCCTTCATGTGGGATCCAAACCAGGGCCCTGCTGCTCGGAGCTGGCGTCCCAAGCCAACTCCTAACCAATGCGCCACTTGGCCAGCCAGCAGCTAACCTTTCTTTACAAAATGTTTATCCAAATATGAACTTGCAGAAAAGGAGGGAATGACAGTTGGTGATAATTAAGGTGACCCTTCTGATGACTTTACATTTCTAAGGGAGGCTGAGGAGAGCCTCGAGCGCCTCTCTCTCCCTGAGGTGATGCAGTAGAGCCGGCACCGAGATTCTGTCCAAGATGCCATGGTATTCGCAAACGGCCAGTTCCCTGTTACCCACCCCGGCTCAGGAGACACAGGGACACATCCCATGCTTTTGCATCAGCAGAGGCTGATCCCTCTGATGATAAAGTGCTGGTTCTCCAATAGTTACATCAGCCCACAAAGGAAACCCCAGTGGGAGTGGATATGTGCACATTACAGGACCGCAGACTTGCGCCTGTGAGCACTGTGCAAACGGACAGTGTTCCAGTAGGCTCTAGCCTGGGCCTATCTGTGCGGCCAGGGGTATCTGTGTAAAGGGCAGAAAGAGTGGCTCCAGAGCCTGCACGTCTCCCCTGTTCACTATGTTCTCTTATGCGGCCACATGCCCCTAGGGATTCGCACCAGTGTGGAGACAGGTGAGCACTGCCCTTATCATGAGTCATCTCTCAGGGAGGATGCGTGGGATTCAGGATAATTAAAGAGAAATACAAATGGCAGTGTCAGGAAATAATCTACACTCCTCAGCTGGAGATGTCTTATCTAGTACATTGAAAGTTTCTGTTTCAGAGAAAAAGCCCACAGTGAGATACCTTCCAGGATTGATGGCAGCTAGTTGTATAGTTTGAGAAACTAGGATATAACATGTTGGGCTGCTAAAATCCTGCACTAAAATCTGGTGTCCCTGTGTTCTTTGTTCCCTGGCAGCACGTGTGCAGTGGGGCTATGAGGAGACCAAGATGCTCCTGGGCATTCCGAGTAATTCTGTTTCATGAAATACTCCAGACCTGTCTGCAGAGCAGCCAGATTTTCAAGCCAAGGGGGACGACTCCAGCATCAGGGACTTCTGCAGACCCCAGAGCAATGTCACACCAAGTTCAAAGCCCTACAGTGTGCTGCTCCTGGCCAAGATGGAATGACAGGGAGTCTGGAGAGCTGAGTCAGCAGAATAGGAGTCCACAGGGGTTGGAGAAGGAGCCACTGAAGCTGGAGTTTAGGGTATATTTACCTGTGACTATAGAAACTGGAGGTTAAGTTTAATTCTTCATTCACATGAAGAATTCCAATTAGGTATTTCTTCTTTGTGGTAGTTTAATTTTAACTTGTTCCTCATTCCATTGTTTTTCTTCCCCACAGTCCAATATAATTTTATTCTTTCAGGTTTTGAGATCAAGAATGGGATTAAAAAAGAGAATCCAAAATGGGATAATTCAGAAGAAGTGAACAAGCCTTTATGGAGAAAGTCTAGTGGAGAAGATTTTTGGCACTCTGAGCTCAAAACAGGCTGGGAGGGTGAACCTGTGTCAAGACGACAGCGTAACATTCTCCACGGGAGAGTGAGGAAAGAGCTTCATCCCAGAAGAGGATGAGTCACCAGAGACTCTGGACTGAGGAGAAGCCTTAGGCACATCGGTGCAGGAAAAACTGCTCTCAGAGCTCTCCCTCCGCTCACCACCAGCAAGCCCCCGAACTAGAAAAAGCTTCTAATAAATATCATGAACATGGGAAAAGCTTTAGCTGAGGTTGTTATCTTGTTCAGCCTCAGAGAATCCACAGGAGAGAAGCCTCACAAGTGCAGTGAATGTGGGAAAGGCTTCAGTGTGTGCTCCAACCTCACTACCCACCTAAGGACTCACACAGGGGAGAGACCCTACCAGTGTGGGGAATGTGGGAAAAGCTTCAACCAGAGCTCCAGCCTCATTGTACACCAGAGGGCTCACAAAAGGGAGAAGCCCTATTAGTGCAATGGGAAGAGATTCAATAACAGTTCCCAATTTAGCTCTCACCAGAGGGTCGACACCAGGGAGAGCCCGTACAAGTGTGCGCAGTGTGGGAAAAGCTTCAATAACAGCTCCCACTTCAGTGCCCACCAGAAAACCCACATTGGGGGAAAGCCTTACAAGTGCTCTCAGTGTGAGAAAAGCTTTACTAAGAACTCTGCCCTTATCCGCCATCAGGAGGTACACATAGAAGAGATACATCATAGGAAGGAAGAAATGCGCTGAGTATGTAGGAAACCAGGCACACCAATTCCTTAGGTCAGCATGTGTTTCTTAGAGCTTCTTCTGCTGTGCAGAGGTCTACTAGCCAATCCCTGGATTAGCTGTTGACAACTGGATCTCAAGAACCATGTCTGGGAATAGGAATCAGCCTAAGAATGCTGAACCCTCCTTCTATCTCTGCCTACAAATTGGAATCCTGTCTCACTGTGAACTTCAATTTTGCTTTGAAGGGCAGAAGGTTATAGAACCCATAAATCCTGCCAGCAAACTAGGTTATCCTTGTTCTGAACAGAGAATGGGTGGCTAGATGCCTGAGAACTGTTTCTGGGCCATGTTAGAGAAGATATTCTCCCAATTCATGGGGAGCACATCTAGAGTTTAACAGCGTGGATCTATTCTAAACCAATAATTGACCTCTAGGTACCTACTGTTATGTACTACTGCTACCTTCAGGGCAGATCACTACTCTGTCACAGAGCCACCACCAAAAACCGAACAAAGGAAAAGAAGAATAATAGGTTAAGTCATTGCATAATACTAAATGAAAGCAAGTCACTTTTTAGCAAGTGTAACATCCAGTTTAATTTTGTAACATTTCTCATCTTAATATCTCCCTCAACACAGTTCCTGGTTTCTTCTCTCTTATAGTAAACAGTTTCTACAAATAAGCATTACTATTTCTGATGAAAATAAAGGGGTTTCTCCTCTACTTGCTTGGCCTTTGGTTATAACTTTCTCCATGAGAAACTTAATACTCATGTAGAAGCTTGCAGGGGTCCTGAAGATGTAAGAGTAGAACTTACTTGAGGACATGCAGAGAAGGAATACGGGACAGGAAATAGGGAGAGAAGGAACTGAACTGGGCAGGAAAGGTTTGAGTTATCACCGAGAAGGGAGATCACAGGCTTAAGTATAATACAGGGACTGCGGGAAGCTCTGATTACAGGTCAAAGGAAGGCTGAGTTTGGAGAGCACTAAGAACCAAAATTAAAGCTTACTAATCCTTGCAGAAAAAAACAAAACAAAACTTACTGATCCAGAACAAGGCATAGATATTTAAGCTTTTGTGAAGTCTCCATGTATACAGAGGTAGAAGGTTGTTGGTACATTGTCTATGGTTCTTGGCCTGTGCACATGAGGTTTTAGTACACTCGCTAAGTTATGGTGAAAAGCAAGTGACGTGGTCTCTAGCTGAGCCCTTCCGAGGCGTTAAATACAAGCAAAGAATGTACATTCCACCTCAAAGAAAGTGTTTCTTTCTTAAATTTTTGGGAAGAAGGAGGAGCAAAGGCAGGACACAATAATATACTTCAGTGTTTCATCAGTTTGAGCCTTACTGGGGCCACCCCACATTTCCCTGCATACAGTGTCCTTGACCATGGCCCTTAGGACAAGCTGTGCAGGCCAGTTCCCAGAGCCACATATTTATCTCTGCTCTAGACAGAAATTAACATACCGTGTTTTCCCGAAAATAAGACCTAACTGGAAAATAAGCCCTAACATGATTTTTCAGGATGCTCGTAACATAAGCCCTATCCCAAACATAAGCCCCAGTTAAGATCATCAGCCAGGGCCGGCCGAGTGGCGCGTTGGTTA